ATTGCCAGTATTTTTTTATTATTGCAAGAAATTCCATAGACTCATTCACAAGTCAAAAATGTGTTTTATCTGAAAGAAACATGCAATATTTACATCTAAGATCATAGAAAAATAGTAATAATATTATTACTCACTATATGAAGTGACTGATAACAAGATCTGTATAATGGATTGTAAAGAAATTTTGTAGACAATTGATCTGTATTTATAGCGTGATGTGATGACAGTACAATGATGTGTGTGGTCCTGCGCTTTTATGTGATATGCGTGGCATTTCTGTGCAAGCCTGCATTTGCGAGTAATCCATCCAAGAGTAATGTGTGTGCAAAGCTATATGAAAGCTCTATTATACATAATTTTAGTGTAACTTTATCATTTTTTTATATCACGAAAACATTGGACTACCGACAAGTGGCCTTGTCAGAAAGCTGTGGTTCCGCTGTTTCACATGATATGAGTGGCTTCTTGCTTTGACGCACGGTAGCGGAAAATCCATAGAGAAGAACAGGTGTGAATTTGGACGCACTTTGCGTTGTTCGGGCCCATAGGCAGGGGTTAAACTTCTCCGGCACAGCGCCGGATTCCCGGCGTGGCAAAGTTTCTGTCCGGCACGGGCAGAAGTGCTCTGCAGTGCAAGCATTTCACTTGCATTTGCCCCTAAAAATATATATATATGCGAACCAGGAAAATGATTTAGACACACAGTGTGCGAGTAAACACAACCTATTGTTTACCATAATCGGCATCGGACGTTTTTTCATCGATAACCGATCAAATAAATGTATTTTAAAACTCGCTCCTTTGGCTCTGATACAGCCGTCTCCCTCCCTGCCTGCAGTCCCCTCTGCGCTGGGCCTTGTAACAATGTCCCGCCTACAGTCCCCTCTGATTGGTTACACGGCACAAGTGATAGCCAATCAACACTGATGCCTGTGCATGCTTTCACATCATGTCACATTGAGAGACAGAGCACAGATGGAGCGGGAGAGGCTCCGGTAAGCCAGCGGTAATTTTGAAGGTAAGGCAACAGAAACCAGACTGAAACGAAAGTTGCAACAAAAATGCTATATGCTGAAGTTTTAAAGTCACCACCACAACATTATATGATCCTTTTCAATGATGACATGCTTGCCCAGAGGCGAAATTTCGACGTTACTGCTAGGCCTGTCGCGATAATCAATAAATCAATTAATTGCACGATAATTAAAAATGAGCTCGATAAGTTTGCCGGGCTCGATAATTTTTCATTTACCAAAGACACTGGATAATGAGTTAACTTCGCTGCATCCATCTCAACTGACTCCTCTCGGTTCCTTAGCGTAATGAGGAGTGAACCCTCCTGTCAGTCACTCTGTCTCTGTGTGGAGAGGCGGGGCACCTGGCGCACCACAGAGTGCAGTATGAGAGGCCCGTGAGGAGTAGAGGGAGAGATTTGGAGGAATAAATAACAATGGAATTGGTTTCTAAGCCGAAAGCAACAGCTGACGTGTGGGAACACTTTGGATTTAAGCCAAATGACCGCGGTGATCCACAGAACATAAATGAGCCAGTATGTCGCATTTGTTTCAAAACAGTTGATGCTAAAAGCGGCAACACGACAAACATGCACCTTCACCTCAAACACAACCACCTGTTGCAGTTTTCCCAGCTGGGAAAAAAAAAAGGTCTACCAAAGAGGCAGAGGGGCCGTCAACGTCTTCCCGACAGTCCACCATCACTGGGGCGTTTATGAAGCAAACGAAATATAAACGTGACAGTGCCAAATGGTGCACACTCACAGACGGTGTAGTTCGCTACATCTCCAAAGAGATGCAGCCCTTTAACACCGTCGAAAAGCCGGCATTTCGACAAATGTTACAAACATTTGACCGGCAGTACGAATTGCCAGGGAAAAGATACGTGTCACAAATAGCAATTCCACAACTGTACAACAACGTGAAAGACGACATACTGAAGGACATCAATTCCATTTTACTCTGCCACTACGGACATGTGGTCAAGCTCAAACATGACCTCCTATATGAGCTTGACCATACACTACATAACTGCTGACTGGACCCTGCACTCCAAGTGTTTAGAGACCAGATATGTTCCAGATAACCATTCTGCTGACACCCTTGGAGAAAACTTGAAGTCTGCTTTAGCAGACTGGGGACTGGATGTGCACAAACTAGTCTGCATCACTACAGACAATGGTGCTAACATTGTTGCTGCAGTAAGGAATCTTGGCTGGCCATGGCTCAATTGCTTTGGCCACAACCTCCATCTTGCTGTGTCCCATGGTCTGGACAGTGACAAAGATCGGACAGCGCGTGCCATAGGACTCTGTAAAAGTTTGGTCAACACATTCAACCTGAGCTGGATTAAGAGGAGAGACCTGAGGAAGGCACAGAGTGAGGCTAATCTTCCCCAACACAGTCTAATACTGGTGAGTAGTTCGTGTTTAATTCATCATTGATAGTTTTATTTAACAAAATATTAAGAGTTGTTATTTTTATTTTATAGCAGCCTGTAATGTCTGTATTTTCATGAGCATGTTTATATTTATATATAATCAGAATCTAATTGAGACTGTAGTATTTTAGTATGTATATATGTCCTAGCATATATAAAATAACACACAAATATTCAAATTAATAATGATAAATAACGGAAATGTAAAAAGTTGTATTTAAGAATGTTGATATAGACTAAGTAATGAACAAGAACAATATTATCTTTCCCACAGGATGTTGCTACACGATGGGGCACTAAGCAGAAGATGGTAGAGAGGGTGCTGGAGCAACTCCCAGCCATAAGACATGTCCTGGTTCAAGACAGAAAACATAGCCACCTCAACCCAACCTGGCAGGATGTTTCTGTGTTGGAGTCCATCAACGCAGCAATTAAACCACTGGCTGACTTCACAGATGTGCTCTCAGGGTAAAAGTACGTCACAGTGTCCTCAGTTAAGCCTGTGCTGGAACTGATTAAAGGCGACCTTCTTTCTCCAGGCCCTGACGACACTGCACTGACAGCCAGTATTAAACAAAACATTTGCATTGTACTGACTGAAAAATACAGCTCACCTGCAATCCAAGTCCTCCTGAGAAAGGCCACCATCTTGGATCCAAGGTATTGTGGCAGCATGGAGAAGGCAGATGCATTGGATGATGTCAAACATCAGCTTTTGCAAGAGCTACTGGACTTAAAAGAGCCAGAAGGAAGTGGAGAAGGTGCCAGTGGTGAGAGCTGCAGCAAAGCTGCTGGAGGAAACGAAGATGAACCTCCTGCTGCCGTGCCCACCAAGAAGAAGAGGCTGAGGTCAGGCCCAGGCTGCAGTTCCAAAAAGAGTGCAGGCTGATGCAGAGCTGACCAAGTTCCTCCAAGAAGATGCACTTGATGCATCTTGTGATCCCTTGATGTGGTGGTTTGACAATCAAAGAAGATATCCTTTGATGGCTAAGTTGGCCCAAAAATACATGTGCATTTGTGCAACAAGCACCAGCTCAGAAAGAATGTTTAGCCCAGCTGGCAACATTGCTACTCCTGAGAGATTCTGCCTTAAGCCACAGAAGGTCAACATGTTGGTCTTTCTTGCTTGAAATCTGCCAAACTAAAGTAGCTACAGATTTGCATATGGCCTGTTGAGTCACCTGCTTTTATTCATATGGAGTGTTTTTGTTGTTAGTTTGCACTTTTTGTTTACAAAGGTCCTAACTGGATTGGAAGTTTTGCCTGTTAAATATCTTAATGTCTGAGCCTAATGTTTAATATATATTGAAGTGCAATTTTGTTTACAGAGACTTTATACTTTAGCCTATTTATTGTTTCAGTTGTGTGTGGTTTTTATTTGAGTTTTTTTTTTCTTATCAGCAACAGGGTCTATTTTATATATTGCTTTTGGTTGTGTGTGTTTTTTATTCAAGTGCATTTTTTGTTTACAAAGGTCCTAACTGGATTGGCAGTTTTGCCTGTTAAATATCTTGTCTGAGCCTAATGTTTAATATATATTGAAGTGCAATTTTGTTTACAGAGACTTTACACTTTATTTATTGTTTCAGTTGTGTGTGGTTTTTATTCAAGTGTATTTTTTGTTAACAGAGACTGACAGTCCATTTTATTTATTGTTTTTGGTTGTTTTGATTATTTATTTTGGATATTTACAATGTCTTTTTTCATAATACAATTCCAATTTTAAATATTCTTAAGAAATAAAAGTTTTTTATCTTTAAAAGGGTGTACTTGCATTATTATACCATTATTATTATATTAGTTGAAAAATGGTATCAAAACGGCAATATTATTGTTTATCGCAATAATTTCTGGGACAATTTATCGTCCAGCAAAATTTGTTATCGTGACAGGCCTAGTAACTGCCTGTTTAATTCACATCAAGCGCGATACAATTTTGCAAACAGCCTAAATGATTTATCTTCTAAGAATAAATAGCACCAAGGCAAAAAAAGAGATGTAGGAGCTATACGTCAAACAGTCTGGTAACCACTGAAAGTTTAATCTTTATTAATAAACTCGTTATGCTATAAAAGTTTAATCTGAAAAGTAACGACTAAAGCTATAATCTTTTTGTTCGTTTTGATAATAAACACGTTCCTTTGCAACACATACATTTGCGTTTCTTCATTTTGTGACTGCAGCACCAAGCCCCCCGCTCCGGAAAAGATTTCACATTTCAGGCACACAAATCTTCCGTGCTCCACATTTCAGGCACAAATTTTTTTCTTGCTTTAACCCCTGCATAGGGTTAAAGAAAAACCCAGTCATCAGATTAGATATTTAAATCTGATTAGATACTTAAATCAGACTCTCTGAAGATTTATGTCTGAATATGTGCTTTTATTCTGAAGGTCTTTGTTTACATGCTCAGAGGAAACAGTGAAACTGATCTGCAGATTGATTTTTTATGAATCACTTCATGACGTGATAAAAGAATAAAATGTTTTCTTTGACCAACATTTACTGTGAAAAGTCAGATAAAGTGACTTCCTGTTTTCTCTCAGGCTCAGCTGAGGGCCGTCCTGACGGTGATGACCAGAGAGGCGGTCCGTCAGATCTGCAGAGTCTTCAGAGAGCTCTGCGTCAGCTTAGTGAAGGAGAACCAGAGTCTGAAGGACACCGTAAGACACCTGGAGACGGAGCTGAGGTCAAAGGTCGACACAAATGCCGCAGCCGACAGGATGCAGACCCTCTATAAGATCAAACCGTCAGGTGAGGACAGAGACAGAGACGGACAGAGAGACAGGAGGAGGACAGACAGACAGGTGGACATTATGTTTAGTTTTAATGAAACTATGAAACTAATGAACTTTATTTTGAAGGTCTGTATTTTTAACTTTAAAAACAGGAAGTTAATTTTGTCTCAACACATCAAAGACTGAACACGTCGCCGCCTCAATGACATCTCCTTGGACAACTGTCTCCATGACCCACGCTGTAACGCAGCACAGTGTGATGACATCACTTCCTGTCATAGTTTGGCCAGCTGTTAAAGTCCGATACAAAACATCTTGCTGCTGTGTGTCGTTAACAGTGATGTTAACAGTTAGCCCTGTGACTGTGTGTGTTTCCCCGGATGGTGAAGGCATGCCCCGCCCTCCCCACCCTCTGATTGGCTGCTGCTCGTTACATTTGTTGGTTGGGATCGTCATGTTTAGGCAGGAGGAGTGTGATTTATCAGGTTGAAGGTCAGAATGTCAGGGTAAGCCAATCAAGGTCATGTCTTAACCCAGCCCACTCTGCTGTGATTGGTCTAAACTCTAGATCGCACAGGAACAACAAGGACTGGCTGAGTTTGTGACATACTTCCTGTCTCTTACCCTGACCCTTGTGACATACTTCCTGTTTCTAACCCTTGTGACGTACTTCCTGTCTCTTACCCTTGTGACATACTTCCTGTTTCTAACCCTTGTGACATACTTCCTGTCTCTTACCCTTGTGACATACTTCCTGTTTCTAACCCTTGTGACATACTTCCTGTTTCTAACCCTTGTGACATACTTCCTGTCTCTTACACTGACCCTGGTGACATACTTCCTGTCTCTACCCTGGTGACATACAGTACAGGCCAAAAGTTTGGACACACCTTCTCATTCAATGCGTTTTCTTTATTTTCATGACTATTTACATTGTAGATTCTCACTGAAGGCATCAAAACTATGAATGAACACATGTGGAGTTATGTACTTAACAAAAAAAGGTGAAATAACTGAAAACATGTTTTATATTCTAGTTTCTTCAAAATAGCCACCCTTTGCTCTGATTACTGCTTTGCACACTCTTGGCATTCTCTCCATGAGCTTCAAGAGGTAGTCACCTGAAATGGTTT